CATATGAAGCAGCTGAAAATACTAGGGCTTAGGTCAAGCATGCCTTAATATTCCACTGACATTTAGGATATTTCAGAAATGTAACAGATATAGAGCAGAGATTAGGGATCTTGTACATAGGGTCGCTATGAGTTACATAATAACAATAACACCACAGATAAAATAGTGTACTATTATCTCATATACTACCATATTCACATTTCACCAGTTGTCTCTTAAATGTCCTTTGCAGCAACTGGTCACTCTGATCCAGGATCCTATTAAATTCATGCCAAACCAAAGGCATGTGGTTCAAATCTACCAGCTGGTCCTTCCATGAAGGACCCTCTGACAAATAGAAACAATACGCAATACGTACAAGAGAATCAGGCTCCAGCTGACCCTGTGCCGTCATCACAGTTGCTGCTGTGCTTACATCATTGTTCCAATTATTGCATCAATCCATTTTGTTAAGAGTATTCTTCTTTTCAAATGACTCACTGCTTTTCCAAGTATGATGTCCTTCTTCTGCGACTGGCCTCTCCAGATAACGTGTCCAGTGTATGTCTGAGACAAAGTCTCACCATGCTTCCTTCTGGCTGTATTCTTCTGAGACAGATTTGCTTGTTCTTTTGGAAGCCCATGGTACACTCAGTATTTTCTTACAAAGATATATAGTTCACAGCATCACTATGAGTTGTTTATGGCACTTAACGACCACATAGAGAGAGCTCTGTGGGCCTAGTGGATAGAAAATTATGTTACCAAGACAGAGGTAGGTGATTTTAATCTGTGGCCCTCAGGCCTGGTTTCAATTATTTTTGGTTAAACAGTCTTCCAAGTGGTATAGCACTGGTCTGTCCTTTCGCTGTATAGAGGTAACTCGTGGTTGCTGTGATGCTAAACATTGTGACATTGATGTGTCACATGTAATAATGGTTACCCATGGTGGACAGTGTTTGGTGGAGCTCCTCGATTAAAACAAGCTTGGAAGCAGGAGTGAAATCCACTTCTGAAATTGCTTGCCTCCTGAAATTCTATGAACCTGGAGAAATGATGGTTATACAAGTGTTCAGGTTTTACGATCATAGGGTGGCTATGAGTCGTCTACAATTTGACAGCACTTAACAACAACAATCCACCAGCTACTCCACAGGAGAAAGATTAGCAATCTCTTCCCATGTGATTTACTGCCTCTGAAAAGCCACTGGAGGGGCAGCAATGAGTTGAGTGGGTTCCAACTCAACAACAGGAAAAAAATTAAAAAAAATACCACCCCAACACCTCTCAAACTCACTGCTATAGAGTCAAAATCAGCTTAAAGATGACCCTTCATCAGGTTTCCTCCATGAGGCTGCAAATCATGTGAGAGGAGATTGCCCATCTTTCTCCCTCAACACCTTTGGTGGATTTGAACCAACAAAGGACATGGCCTTTGAGTTAGTAGTGCAACTCCCTACAGAATATGCCACTAAGACCATGTTGTCATGTGCTGTTGAGTTGACTATGACTTATAGCCACCCTGTGCACAATAGTTCTGAAGTCTGCTTTATCCTGAGCCAATCTGACTGTCTCTGACACACCAACCCTCATTACTCCAGTTACTGTGTCATCCAGTTTATCTGGGGTCTTCTCCTGCTTTGTGCTTCTACCCTGCCAAGCATGGTATCATTCTCCAAGGACCGGTCCCTCCTGGCTATATGCCCAAAGTATGTGATATGAAGCCTCAAAAATCCTTACCTTAAGGAGCAGCTTGGTTTCACCTTCTCTTGGACTTATCTGTTAGATCTCTTGGCAGTCCATGGTATGTTCAACACTCTTCTCCAGCACTACAACTCAAAGAAATCAATTCTTCTGTCATCATCGGTCATTATCCAGCTCTCTGATGCATAACAAGTAATTGTGAAGACCATGGTTTGAATCCAGACTGACATCATTGCTTTTCAGAACTCTGGAAAGGTCACTGACAGCAGATTTTCCTAATGCAATTTGTCCCGCCCCCTCTCCCCCCCTGCTTATTTTATATGGTAGATCCAAGGGTGGTACTTCTCTGGAGATTCAAATCTACCAGAGACTCCCTCCAGGGGAAGAAGAACAGGCCATCTGCATCCATGTGATTACAGTTTCAGACACCTTCTGGAGGGTCAGCTATGAGTCTGTTTCAGTTTTATAGCAATGAGTGAATGAGACCTCTGGGGTAGAGCCCAGCTATCTCTTTTTCAATGAGCCTTCCTGAGAATTCGGAGGCTCCCTTGAATGTGAGAAGAGCTGTGGCAGACATTCCTCTTTTTAACAATATGTCTGTCTGTCCTGCTAGACAGAGTGCCTGGTATGTAAAACTCAAAAAAGCTCTTTGCTGTTGAGTAGGAACTACTCATAGTTGAACCTTCAGCAGGTTTTCAGAGTCTGAATTGCATGAGAGGAGATTGCCAATGTTTTGAGCGGCTTGTGGATTCAAATCACGAGAGAAGCGCCAACTTTGGGTTAGCCATGCAACTCCTCAGGGAGGACACCTATGGAGCTTACTGCCTGGCATAAGTGGTTAGGTCCAGCCGTCTGGTTGAGTACGCAATTCATAGCACCCCTGTGAACAACAGATCGGAATTCTGTCCTACCCTGCATCATCCTCATCATCCCTGGCATACTTGAGTCCAGAATATTTGTTAAATCAATTTCCCTGATTCCAAAACTAGGAGTTTTGCTGTGGGAATTGAGACGTCATGTTCTTTTGGGTCCATTTTCTGTCAAATCTAGGGTTTTAAAGTCACACAGGGCTCCATTAGTCAGAACAGGGGGCTCTATCTTAGGGTTGGTACACTGAAACTGTCACAGGGATAGAAGTGAAAGGAGACATCAGACTTAGGGCTCTCTCCCAGCAACAAGGTCTCTGGTGACTGAGGGGTCTCAGCAGCGTGTAAGTCCCCTGTCTATGGGAGACACACTCTGTCAAACTCTGAAGGCTTCCTCCTTCCTTTTGGCACCAGCTCCACGTCAGCCTTGGCAGGATCTGCTAAGTCTCTGCCAGGAACACACTTTTTAAAGCATCTCCAGCTTTTTTGGGTTCTGGTGACTAAATGGTTGAATGATCCACTTCTAATGAAAAATTTGGTGGTTTGAATCCACCCAGCATCCCTCTGGGAGAAAACCTGGCAATCTGTTTCCTGTTTCTTGGTAACAGTTCAGAAAACCCTGTGGATCAGTTCTACTTCACCATGTGTGCTTGCTAAGAGAATCAAATTATGTTACCAAATAACACATTATTGGGAAGGAGTGGTTAGAAAATGCCCCTTCACTCTTTAAGTGTGGGTGTATGTTGGGGTGAAGATTTGTGTGCTTGGATCTCATAACACTTGTTATTGATTGCCTTGACTGACATATGAACCACCATATGAACAAAAGGCCTGAAGCCTTTCTATAACTGTCGACATTTATCAAAGTTCATAGAGTTTCCGGAGGAATTTTTGTTTAGGGGTCAAATCCCCATTCTTGATTTGGGAGGTATTTCTTAAGTAGCCTTAAGTTTCCTGAGATTTAAGAAAATAAAAATAACCTTTTTTCTAGGAGAAGCAGAGAGGGCAGGAAAAGAATTTTTGCCACCTATCCTTGCCATTCTTTAAACTTCCTGTATTTTAAGGAATAAATTTGATTTAAAAAAAATAGTGGAAGCAGAAAAATATTGTTTATCCTTAATTTCATATATTAAAAAATTAATCTTATATTTTCTTTTGGGAATGGGTAAAGAAAGACTTAAGTTCACTTCTCATTTCACACGTGAACAGTTCTTCAACTGTTTTAAATTTTTATTTTAAAAGCAGTACCGTGTGTGGGATTTGGGATGATCCTTCACATTTTTAATTTTTCTTTTTAAAAATATCTGACTTTTGGGAAGTTAGGGAGGACAGAAATAAATCGCCTTTAAGCTCCGTCAAGTCCCGAGGAAGCAATTCCTCAATTTTTATTTTTAAAAGAAATCTAAATTTTTAGAGTGTTGGATAGAAATATTCCTTTTCACCTCGTATTTCATATAGAATGAGTTTATCAAATTTTTAAATCATCCTGACTGGCCATATGGGGAGAGGGTTTAATCCCCCTTACCTTCTAGTTTTGCATAGGGCAAGTTCTTAAAACTTTTATTTTTAAAAAAAATCTGCAATTTTTTTTTTTTTTTTTAATTTGGCAAGGGCAGAATAGAAGCAGTCTCTTCACCCGTATTTCGCTTAAGAGCAGTTCCTCAGATATTTATTTTTAAACCAATCTGACTGGGGGTGCTAGAATCCCCTTAACCCTTAGTTTTACATAGGGCCAGTTCTTCACGTTTCTATTTTTAAATCACATTAGATTGGGGGGGAGGGGTGGTTGGGACTGTAGGATTATTCTCATCGAGTCTTCTTATTCTTCCATAAAGCCAATTCTTCAAACTTTTATTTTAAAAATCAATCTGACATTTTGGGGATGGGGGAAAAAAAGAGTTCCCATTAACCCCTTGTGTTCCACAAGAGTCGATCCCCCAAACTTTTTTCCAAATGTGAAAATGACATTTCCAAGGAGCAGGAGGAGCGGGGAGGGCAGCAAGGAGCTGGGGGGCAGGCGTGGGGGGCGCGGAACGGGCAGGGCGCAGGGCGGCAAAGTTTGGGGG